ATCTGAGTGGTATTCGCACGAAGGAGGCGCTTGGACCTCAGCTATCTACCGAACGGTCATTCATGTTAATCACACGAATAAAGCAAAAGTTATGGATTTTTATTTTAAAAGTTGGTTCTGAGGTACGGGATATTCAAGTGGGGGTATCCCTCTCGTACAGCGGTGCATGGTGGGAAAAATGCTCTGTGATTTAAGTTTCCCATGTAGTCCACTCTTGTAATACCCCTGTGATGTGACTCAGGAAACCCCTTGCATGGGGCATTGCATAAATACTGGAGCATGTGAATAAAGACCTCAGTTGACTCCCAGAACTGTGTTTCGTCCGGTTACTGGGGGATTTGGCATATTGCCTTAATTTCCAGCGCTTTACTTTGGATTACTTTCTTAACCAGCGGAGAAATTGGGATTTCATATTGCAGCTCCACTACAACTGATGGCAGCAGTGGGATCCAACCTTACAGCCAAAAAATAGCGTGGTTCGTGCAATTGAAACTGCCGAACAGGAAAGGAATGGCAATTGGAATGCAACAAAAGAACCGAACACAGAAGTGAATGGAGACGGATTATGCTACATTAAAACGGCAGACGTTAAACGAACTGCTGGAAGCCAGAGGTAAGATAGCCAGCAACAAATCAAAAGCTGTGCTTATTGCCGAACTGATGGAGGGAGACAGAGCTCACAACACTACACCCCACCAGCCATGGAAGAGACCCTCTACCAGAGGGAAATGAGGACCAGGATGGAATTTTTAACCCAGCCTGTACCACTGGAAAGGCTGACTGTACTGATGGCGGATGTGCAGGAGTATGTGATGGCACACGGACCGCAGAATTCATCCTCCTGGGCAGAATCTATTACTGCTGCGGTCAGCAACCAGGTAAAGCCTAAGATCCCTTACTATGCGTTTAAAGTGTTTTGCGAAGATAAGACGAAATTGATGGATATTTACAAGACTTTGAAAGGCTATGTGACTTACATGATTTGGAGCAGGCAGTATAGGTGCCGTTATTAGCAGGCAAACTGTCAGATTGGGCAGCAGAAGCCCATCGGGCTGTACCCAGGGAGGACAGCAAAGATTATGCCTGGGTAAAACAGGCTATACTGGAACGTTACACCATTACCCCGGAGGCATACTGGAGCAAGTTTCGCGGATTGCGCAAACCCGAGAAAGACTCCCACGCTGAGTGGGCACACAAACTAGATCAAGCCTCCCAGGGGTGGATACAGGCCAGTCGAGCGACCACTATGGAGGACTTGCGACAATTGATGTTGCTGGAACAATTATTTAATGGTCTGTCCCCCGAGGCACAAGAATGGGTGAGAGACCGAAAACCCCTCACCCTAACATAAGCGGCACGACT